ATAAAAATATTTACATATATTCGGCACGATTTATGCTTTCCGAAGTGTAAGACGCTTTTGTTGAACCTTAATATTCACAAAAAAGAATTCCTCACACGTGTGAAAAAATTCGTTCGAATTCCTCACACGTGTGTGACAAGTTCGTACGAATTTGGCACACATTTGTGAATTTTTCGTTCAGCACCTTTACCCCCTGGAAGCAGAAACGAATTCGTTACACGTAAAATAAAAATAAATAAGTGACATGTTAAAATATTAACAAACAAAATTTTCACACATTTACAGTTAATATCTCCAAGCAAGTTCGCTGGTAGATCACTGCCGATAAAGATGATGTTTTGGCGTTGTCCGTGTGTGCGTCCTCTGGGCGTCCGAGTTTCGTTATCGTGTGAATTCTTGAAAATTAATGGCTAAATTTCAATGAAACTCTTTTATCAAGAGGAGATGAGAATATCGTTGAGGTTACCGGGTTCGATCATTAAACCCAGAGATATTACCCCTGATTAGTTACAAAATATACATATGAAGTATTTTTTGTTTCCAGGCTATTTCTTGAAAAACTATTGGCTAGATTTAAGTGAAATATGACGTTGTACTGTGAAATAAAAAGCGTGAAAATAACAATGAAAAAATAACAAGACGTAATAATCATCCATAAAAACATAAAAGAAACAGGAAATTTGTTCAATTCAGTGACAGATCGTTTGATATTTCACTTGTGAACATAAAAATCAATATTTTCACTGTCGGCAGCCTTAGTCACGAATAAAAATATTGATTTTATTATCATAAGTAATATAACATTTGTTATTTCACTTATGATCATAAAAATCAATAATTTCACTCATGGCAGCAGTAGTCACGAGTGAAAATATTGATTTTATAATCATAAGTGAAATAACAATCCATCTTCCACTGAACTCTATATCTTAAACTATGTTGTCGTAACTTAATGGGCGGCTTCACTTATAATTTACTTCTTAGCTTTTCTCGCAAAAAAAGCCTGAAAAAGCATGCTAAGGATATTTATAAACACTACACATATAATGTTATGGACAGAATGTTATGAAAGTACATTGTAAGTATAAGATAATACCACTTAATAGTTATGCAGTATGTATAGTTAATTATATTCATTGTTGTACTATAATTCGACATCGGCTGACTGGATTTCAACAAAATTTATTGGAACCATCAAAAGGCATTTTTGCTTGAGATGTATCAACTTTTGTTGGAGGTTTTGTATCAAAAGTAATGCTAATAAGTTATCAATATCTGAGGTACATACTGCAAAGAAACTTCAGTCAAGTGATAAGAATCATGCGGCCGGGTGATATCAATTCAATGAATTTGCTTGATTTACTATGTTTACCAAGACCCCCATACAGAAAGACAGGACAAGACCCCTATACAGAACGACAGGACAAGACCCCTATACAGAACGACATGACAAGATCCCCATACAGAACGACAGGACAAGACCCCCATACAGAACGACAGGACAAGACCCCCATACAGAACGACAGGACAAGACCCCAATACAGAGCGACAGGACAAGACCCCCATACAGATCGACAGGACAAGATCCCCCCCCCCCCCAAACAGAACGACAGGACATTTTAAGCAGCAGAGAAACTGCAGTTTTGAGCATTATTCATTTGTTACTAATACCATATGTTTCCAATATGTATGATTTTAGGGACACATAGACTGAGGGAAATGTCATAAATGGTCATTAATATGAAATTCTGTTACATTCAATGTCTCGAAAAATATTTTATCCTCATTAATGAATGGATTTCTTTCACATTTGGACACAACAACCCCTTTAACAAGACATTTAATTACGCTTATTAAAAGTCAGGTTCTAAAAAAGGTTTACTCGTAATTTCTGTTAACTTGATGGATTTCTTTCAAACTTGTACACAATAATCTTGTTCACAAGACGTTCACGTCTTCCTTCCTATGTGTGAACTTGACATCTGGCTGGCATGGAATCTTGAAGATATGAAAAATAAAGCCTGTCATATTATTATCCTCCGTCGATTGAACTGGGAGGGATATTGTCGAACCTTTTAATATAGAGTTATAGCCCCTGAATAATTATGGTTCTGTATACAGAGCATTATTCATTTTGCGCTACTTCTCGGTAATTGCAGACTGGATTTCAAGGAAACGTTATGGGAACTGCGGTTGCTGTTGTTAATTATAACCAGCATAGACTTTTTACGGCTGATTTCTCAAAGAATAAATACAGAGAAACGTGTTTTGTATCCAAATGGTAACAAATGTGCACTACAATACAGAACGGTTTTTTATCATTATTTGGACAATTGCAAGCGGCCACATACTACTCAATCATGGTCCGGAAGTGTATTGATGTCGATTTAACAACACCACACAGAAAGTGCTGTAAGGTATGCTATGCATTCGGATTACCAAACGTCCATGAGTTGATCGGTTAAAAAATGTGTAACATGTTGATAGTATTTAAAATATAAAAAGAAGGTTAAACACGTGACTTCGGCGATTGTTTAATTACACGAGTGTTTTATATTGAGTTTTAAACGAGCTGCGTAAAAAAGAGAAGCGTTATGAATCAGGATGTATAGTTTTTGTTATACAGTGGAGAAAACATATAAGCGTGTCAATGTAAAATGATTCATTTTTACAACAATCTTTTCTTACTTTGGATATTTGGTAAATAAAATATTACCCTCGCCGTGTACATTCAATAAAACATTTATTTAACCTGTATAATTAAAGAATATTATGCCCGCCAGAGACTCGTACAATATGATTTTATTCTACTCGTTACTGTTTAACCTACACTTATGCAGTACCTTCGTGCAATCACACGACCCAAGACAAAATAGTTGTACATAACTATTTAATAAACAGCAGACATTTTCACAAAAAAATATTACGATTTATCTTAAGTTTTTGACTAAGTTTTAAACGATAATCGTAAGTAAAATCGTAAGTCATTTTCACAAAGCCACTCGTAAGTTAAAATTTTATTTTCACTCACGATAAATCTTACGATAAAAACATCCCTAGCAACGTTCATTTGATATTGTTGTGCGTGCTCTTTATTTGATTATGGTTTTAAAATTAAGTAATAAAGAGCTTGAAATATGTATTAAGCACAATGAACAAAAAAATGATTCAAACTAATATATTTTCTATCTTGATTGAAAATAATTGTAACCATGTATCTAAGTGATTCAGCTACGTTATTGCTAAGGTATTAATAAATAAAAAGGTGCCACTAGTACATGTTGGCAATAAAATCGAACTCACAAAATTGTAATTGTTTTCAACAATACTACAACTATTCATAACCCTTTCCATCGTGACGTCATCAAATCATGAAGTCACAGATGTTTATTTTGATTTGTGTTATTTATAACATACTGTTTGCTTAATATATATTGGTCCTCCAATTTTTTATTTGTTTTTATTCAGTTTAGGTAAGACATACATGATTTTTTACCCAAAATTACACTTAGGAACGGGGAACACCTATCGTAAAGTTACGACAGATTTTGCACTTAAGATTTTCTTAAGATTTTTTGTGAAAATGAGATTTATCGTAAGATTTCTCTTACGATCAAAAATTGTCTTTAGATTTGTTTGTGAAAATGTCTGATGATATTAATCTAGTGTTATACATGTAACACCTTAACGTGACGTTAATTGCGTTATATACACACAGCGTTACTGCGCGCTAAATTTACGTTACACTAAAGGCCCGTCAATGAAAAATGACTTTTTAACCGTGAATCGCAAAGGATCGCATAATAAGATTTTATACAACTCGTACAATACTTCTTGTATTTAATCTACATTCTTTCAATATTCTGAATATATTTAAGATACATTTATCATCTGCATTTGTTATTTGTGACTTGTGGAAATGGTGATGAAATATGCGTCTGTCATTCAAAATTATTTCATAATTATAATTCCAGTCCTCAAATACGATGCACTTAACGTCAACAGGTGTTTGATATGATCTCCACAGTTGAGTAAAATGATTGATAAAAAATTTAATATTTACTTTGAAAATGCATTTTCAAGTGCATTTTCGCCAGACATACAAATAAATAAAACAATATCATCTTTCAGCATTGTAATGGTACTCAAAATGGTTAATTTCTATCATTAAAATCGGAAGAAAAAGAAGAAGAAAGAGAAAAAAAATGTATAAATTGAGTAAATTTTTCATGAACATATATTTTGTTATAAACATGAAAATACTGCATCAGTTACCGGGTGGTTAAGGTCGGCAACTTCAATACAGCGGTATATTGGAAGCCCACCAACGACGTTGGATTCTTGTGAGTAAATTTTCAAGCAAGCTTATAGAACGTTGGTGGTTCTACTCAGGTTTGTGTCTGGAATTATGCACGGTAGAGCACATGAGGTATTTTACCTTTGCTATAGCTGAAAGTCGTCAAATGACTTTGGCAGTGTTGTTGCGACATAAAATCAAACAAACTAATAAATTAAATGCATTCTGTCACAGTTTGTATTGGATATAACGTACCACTCTATCCATTTATTACTTTACACAATAACGCCTATTTATACAAAACAAAAAAAAATCAAAAACATTATTCTTGATTTGTTTTTTGCTTTTCGTTACCCCTATATTAAATTCAAAAAAATAATGATCATTTACCAGAACCATCTTTTGCTTCTGTTGCTTTTGCAATCAAGAATATATCCAACTAACTAACGGAATGTCGTTGGTTCTACTCAGGTGCCCATTCGTGTCTGAAATAATGCCCGGAAGGTCACCTGAGGTCTTCCTCCACCAGTAAAGATGGAACGTCGCCATATGACACATACTGTGTCGGCGTGAAGTCAAACATAATCAAACAAACAAACACAACTTTTATTAATTATAACAACTATAGTTGTATAAACGTTTACATTCTTTACATAAGTTTACTATAATTCCGAATGAATAAAAACACATCACATCTTACAATGCTTTTAAACCTTTATTTAAACATTATCAAAGACATGTAGGCATTTTTCTAAAGACGAAAACAATAATTTCCCTGCCCTTAAAAATATTGAACATTATTTTGAAAGCAAAGTTTTCGATAGAAATAAAACCTTTCCAGTGGTCAGTATTTCGTCAAAATCACTGATAATATATTGAAACTTACAACTTGCATGTCAATATATTTTTTTCAATAAATATCTATAACAAGTGCAATTAATAGTACTTTGCCTCTTTTTATGGTCTACATTTTTATGTCCACTCAGTTATTACGTTTGTCACTGACTATTATAAAAAAAGAGGATTTACAACAAAAAAGATAGAGGCGGGAGTAATAAAAACGTAGTTATCATCAGATTGTTCTGTTCATGTCTACACTTTTATTGCTGCAATAGTGATTCGAATTTACACACGAATGCGAACTTATTAAGCGTTATCGTTAACAATATTTTTTTTTAAGAAGTTTAACAATAAGTTAATACATAGAAGCATACTTTTTCATATCAGGTTATTCAATAAGCTTGTGTTCGTACTATCAGAAACAATTATAAAGGTATTGCCTTCAAATCATGTTTTACATATCATTTACATAGAAGTAATCACTACCTTGAACATAATATTTTGTATTTTCTGACAAAATCGGATCAGGATGTATTTATACCCGCCGGAACATCATTTTGGAGACCTTGAGTGATTCTCTGCCTTTAAATGAGTAGTATATCATCCCACCTTCATGCCTGCCAGGTCGTTGTGTACCAGGAGTAACATATTCACCGTTTAGATTTGCCCAAGCACAATTGTCATACCACCATCCACCATAGTCGTCTATAGCGCAATTTCTTCTGCTGGCTCCATCACGATCAATGTCGAAAGTTGAAAAATGTTTACCTTTGTGATATGATAAACCATGTGAATCGCCTGTTTTGAAAACAAAACAATAATGTAAGTCAGTAATACACAATTAACTATCATTGGCATTGTTTAATTTTTTGTTAATGTCAATGATTTTTATAAAATGACTCTGTTTTCTTTACATCTTAAAAAAGAATCATTAGGACTGTTAACAATAATTTTACTTTAAGAATCGACGATGGCAATGAATACCTGCAGTTCCCACTCCCTTGTCGATATGAAGAGTATAATAGGGCCTTTCATCGAGTCTAAAATTCTGAAATGTTTCGTATACGGATGTTCCGTCTGCAGCCGTCAGATCTAGCCTCAACTCTGTTTTTCCTCGGGAAACCATTTCATAGATGTTTTCAAGGCCTTAAGGTATTAAGAAAGTTTCTTTCTTGGAAAAATTTGATACAATGCAAGCTCATATGTATACCTGACTACCTGTGTGACTAAGGGAATACTTAAAACAAGTATTTTTAAAACATTTTCATGTCTGGAGGTCATATTTTGTTGTATTGTTATTATACTAATAGATTATGGAATTATCCTATATCTAGTAAATAAGTATCCCACATTTTAAATTTTACATCCAGTAAACATAACTATATTTTTCTACAACGCCAATATGTTTTAAAATGTATAACCGGTTGTGATGTAAAGATATTTCTGGACGAAATACGACTGGCACGGTGAATGGGTCGTAACCCTGCTTTTACCTTCATATATTCACCTCCCACCCATAAGTGTCCAATTAGTGAGCATTGGAGGCAAGTAATGTTCAATACATGCACTGTCCATTATAAGGACAATAACACATGTTTTAAGTAGGAGAGATTCCTCGACCTGCCAATTCTCTAACAAAACAAACTCTTTTGGAGTTCTTCCTTGACTTAATATAATTTCAGTCAGACGGACAAATAAAAATGTGCTAAAACCAAAAGTAAGATTATTTGTCAAATTTTAATTATTAAAATAAAAACAGGTATATAAATTATTTGTTCTATACTTGCTTCCTTTTTATTCGTGGAGATTGGGTATTGATACATGTATTTTTCTTTATACATTATCAAGATAACTGTCACTATATTTTTCTTGATTCACCATAAAAAAGGCATCTAGTGTGTCATATTTCGATATACGATAAACAACGATTCTATGTTTAACTTATTTAATGCATTAAAAGAAATACAATCTCATTTACAAAATACAGTTTGCAGTCTTTGGTTGCAAAATAAACGTTACATTTTTATGTATTTAAATTCCATAGACAGCTAATCAGTAAAAGTTATCGTTATTTATCGTAATGAAGAAACAATTATAGTTCTATGCAATTTTGAACAGACCCTCTGCATTTTTAATTATTCATTTTGAAATAAATGGTCTTGTTAAAGTACGAGAAAGAAAGTAATTTTGGTCAAAATAATTATTGAATGACGTAATTAGATTTATCTAATTAACTGTTGATTATTGTCATTGGGACATTAATACCTGTTACTTATTTCAATGATCTATTTCTAAACTTTACAGCACACACAAATGTGACCTTCCGATCAGAAATTTGGAAGACATGAAATTAAAATTTATAGGAAAATCTCCATATAATTTTCTATTGAAGGAATGTCTACTAGTTCGTCTTACGTGTTGTTCGGATTGCTAATATGCTAATTCTTATTACTTTATGATAGTTTAAACACAAACATGCTTAATAATATGACACTTATTTGAATATGAAATAAGATTAAAATGACAATATTTTAATCGGAATAGCATCGTTTTTCTTAATCCGAAATGTCATTTTTACATGAATATATATTTGTTTCATTTCATGTTTTATATCTTGAGGATGTGAAAGTTATTTCTCATAAGAAAATTTACAATATAGATGGTGTTCTTTAGACTTGTAATTTCTGTTACACGTTCTATATTATATATTTGTTTTATTAAAATTGGTTATATGCATTTGATTTTCTAAACATGCAAACTATTATTACATGAATATCATTCTGATTAAAATATAAATATTAAGACATGATCAGCACTCTCTTTACTGTCTGATATATATGTATGTTAATACACGGAGATCGTGTATAAGGAATTGTTCGGTTATTGCATAACCTATTTGACATCCTTGACATAATTATTCTTATTCACACAAGATTGATACAATTTACAATACAAACCTCTATTGTACTTTCTGATATTATGTGCTGAGAATTGATAAAACAACATGTATGTACGCTTTTGATATAATGAAAACGGAAGCCGTTTAAGTGCTTGCATATTCATTAAAGAAACTTGAACAAATAATGTTCTCGAAATGATTTCTCACGTAAGTAAGAATGCAAGCCAAGTTCTTACATAATTTATATAAGCGTGATATAAATACAATATATCAAAATTGTGTATATGTACTGCTATTGTCTGTCCATCTTGGGAATATTAATACAAATGTACAATGCACCTTCAATACTGGGTTGCAATTTTATTTTTTTTAACAAATAATGTATACACATGTATGTATTCTTCATTTGAGACAGTTTGCATTCTTACTTTTTATGTATGACGGGTATATAATTACGAACCGATTGACGGTTGACTTTAGCGTGGTAATATTTACATAAGCAACGATGCCGCTCAAGCGGACGCAATCATTGTTAATGGCAACACTGACCGACCTCTGTCCTAAAATGACATGTTTACATTGGTTCCCGGTTTTACATTATGATAACACCAACATTATAATAAAGACGATATATTATTCATAACGTTTACTTAACATTTTGAATGACGATTTCAGAGCACAATTGTTATTGTAAATTTCATTTTTAAAATTTACTGCAAATTATCAAGCATAAAATAAAACTAAGATCATGACAAAAACATGTAAAAGAAAAAGATGTTGTAAAAATGAGTATATTGTTATATTATTCTTTATTTATTTAAGAAAATATGTGATACTAATAAGCATGTTTGCATACAAACTGTCATAATAAAATAAGATTTTCTTATTAAAAAGCCATCAGAAAATTCATTCAAACAACTGTATGGCAATTAAATCAACATGTACTCACCTAACCAAAATTCGCCGTCTAAAGAACCAAATCCCTTTTTCATAATCACGAAAGTTTCTGTAGAAATCAACGCTGGCCATTGAATCGATATTGAAACACCTGAAATAATAATACATGAATGTAATATTTTGTACCAGGACATATTACAAACATGACTAATTCAAAAAAAAATGTTATGGCTTTGATAAATTACTTTTCACACCACCATTTATATGCACGTTTATTTTATTTGGTAAACTATATGAAAGTTACTAATTTCGGTATAAACGAGACAATTTTATAATGAGAGTACCCCGCCTGGTACAAGATGTTGTTTCTTTGAGCAAAAACTTGAAATAAGTTTCCATTACTGGTTCCAGGAACAGATCGAGAGTATATCAGCTGTTAGCTTTTCAACGCAATCCGAGCTAAACTATATTCTGTACCACTAATGATGTGAAGTTTAAACATTCTATATCCTTTTGAATGATCACAAATTGCGTACACTGCAACTTTGTTCTCTTTCATTATTATATCGTATCAAAATTAATAACAATTGTTTAGATTTTACGTGGTCTCAACATACAAACGAAATAAGGTTTCATGCTTAGAAAGAATTAATGTATAATAAGTACAAAACAATTATAGAGCACCGTCATACCTCCCTGTATCTGTATCAAAGTCACAGTACACAGTATACCTCCGATTGTATCTCCAGGAGCTACATTGTATTCCACTCTCGCTCGTGTCCCTATGCTTTTTTAATGCATAATCAATCTTCATCTGAACACTCGCTCTTTATTTCTGCATGCTTATTTCCAAATGTTTAATGTTGGGGTATATTTTATTTACTTAGCTAAGAAATCACCAATTATTGTTTTCAAAAGAAAAACAATTCAGAAAAAGCTGTATGTGCTTCTCTTATTACCTTCAGTGAATAAAGCAAAACATTCTGCACAGGACTAACAGGAAATGAATACTACTAAAATTCAAACATCAATTTAGAGTTATTTATAGTAGATATCAGTTTATGACGATTTTACACATTTTAGTTTAATATATCGGCGGTCAGGTCACTTAAATGGTTTTCCCGAATAAAACACTAGTATTTTGATACTTCTACAAGTGACCGACTACATATCCTAAATAAGACAAATGGAGATTACAGTCATGAATGTCCGATTTTGTTCAAATAGAATTGGGTCTTTTGTATTGATGTTTCGCGTGCACGTGCACTTTTCTTTTAGAATGAACTTATTTATTTACTTAATGTGTCACAGACCGTTCATTATCTTTAAACACAAATAATAGTCAATTCGAAAATTGAAATTGCAACAATACGTTTGCATCAAATATTAATATTATTACTCTATTTTATACAGATTTTACTACACGTAACAGTCTAAACCTAAACTAAGAACCTTTTTTAAATGCAATTAATGTAAAAATTTATTATTATTGAATATATGCATGTATAATAAGCTTTAATATAGATATCATAATAGTCACCACAAATCCCACTATAACACAGTTTAACGTCGAAGTTTTGTCCAACACATTGCTTGCCTGCATTTGCTGGAGATGGATTTGTGCATGATCGTGTACGGCTTTGAAGTCCTACCCCACATAAAACAGGGCATTGTCTCCATTGACTCCACTCGGTCCAGCCACCATCAACTAGTCAATTATTAAACTAAGTAAACTGTGATTGTAACAAACATTATATTCTGATAATTTTGACATATTGCTTTCAAATTGGGATAGGAACAAACTTATTTAGACAACAAGTCACCTACGTTACAAAAAACTATATTAAGTTGATTTTCAACAAATGGCGCCGCCAAATTCGGATTTTAAAATACGAGAGAGGACATATTACATTGTTGCCGAAATTCTCTCCTTCATATCTACTTCAGCCGCCATGTCTATACAGAATTTTTAAACTTATGGTAAATTTTATATCTGGCTTGTTTTTGTTTCATTCAGTTGTGTAAAATTTTGACGTAGTAAATTGGGACACTATTCAGATTACAGAAAGCCATCCATTCTCTCTCTTACTTACAGAAGGGAATGTCCCTTTTTTGGCCCAAATTTGTCATTTTTTTCAATTGACAATATTGTAAATAAACTGCTTTTGGCTATTGCTTTCAGGCATAATATTATACCTTTACCCAAAATTGTGAAAAAGTAATTGTAAAAGTTGTAAACCTAAAGAGAAAGCCAAAATTGGCCCAAAGAATGAGAATGTGGGAGATAGGTGTATTTTAAGAAAAAATATACGTAATAAAGTCCAATCGTGCAACGTTATAAAATAACACAAGTTGTTTGAATATCATTGTTGCGCTTTTTAACTTTGATTTACAGAAGTAGTTCCGCAATTGACGTTTTTCAAAGCCTACGTTTATTATAGGGCTATTATATGATAAGGTGTTACATTGATAATCTATATGTTTACTGTCGATTACAATCACCCGGTCCGGCACACTTAAATAGTAAACCGTAAGAAAATAAAATATCACTTAACTACAACCGGGAACATGATCAACAAATCACTTAATTTGGAAGAAGAAATTGCGATAATCAAAGCTAGTTTTAGAATAAGTTTTACCTGCACAAGATCCTGTTTTGCACATTTCATCTTCAATACCGTTTCCAAAACAGTGATCCCCAAATCTATGTGGACGTGGATTGGTACACGATCGTTTTCGACTCCGCATTCCTATACCACATGTTGCCGAACATTCTCCCCAATCCTCCCATTTACTCCAGCCACCATGTGCTAATATAAATATTCAAAAACAAATAAATATATGCGTGTGTGTTTTTGTGTTTTACATCTAATTTGATAATGCGTAGTAATATTTTAGCAGCTTTTTTTTTTAAATCAACAACTATTCAACTTAGATATTATTCATTAACATCTTTCTACAGGAACAAAATAAAACAAGTCCCATTTTCCAGCAAAATGTTCAAATTATTTTTTAAATGCCTGTTTTGACTATTGATGATTAGTCTTTATTGATCATGAATAAACCTTTACTGTTGCATTTAAACAAAATGAAAAAAACAACAACAGTAAGCCCTAACACTGCAAAATTTAGAAACTTGCAGGCTAAGTTTCGTTAAAACGACATGTTAAAAAATAATTTACAATTATAATCAAACAAAATCGTTATTTTCGTTTACGGCATTTAAAAATATTTACTTGGTTGAAACAATAAAAATGTGTGTCCTTTTTTTACTCTTTTGTCTATCAAAAGTAACTTAAAGCTTACAAAACCCAAGTCTATTGATAGCTCTGAATATAAAATTTGTGCTCACAAAATGTTATTAGACGGCGCGTACACGCGCCTTCTAGGAGATATGCATTAGTCCGTATAGCAATGGTGGAAATTTAAGACTTGATTTTGTACATTTTTTTTATTTTAACAAAATCACATCGTTTTCAATTTTTCTAAAAAATAGCTTTTCATATTTTTTTTATAATTATCTAATTTTATCTACCTAATAAATAACGTGCCAATGACTAGTCTATAGTTGATCGTTCTAAAACTTAACCGTTGAGAGAGGTAACGACTAAAGCAGTGTCACGCACTTCATTTGCTCCGCCTCTTAAGGTCGTCTCCGCCTTAAATTGTCGCCAAATTCAATAGGCTAGCATTTAGTCTTCATTGACGGGGTGGGGGTTGGGAATCAGGAAAATTTTGATCATTATAATTTGACGAATTATTAAATTACAAAGCCTAAACCACGCCCAGTATCGGAGAGGCGGTTCTCCCTCAACACAACAGGCCCGTCTATAGTCTAATGACGGGAACCAAATTCGGGCAGGGAACAAGAGTTATCACTTAAATACACAACGGTGATTATTTTGGCGCTACGGACGCAGCGGAAATATTTTTTTGCAAAACAGGCAAAACGTGTGCGACATGTAATTCATTAAAATAATAAACATTAAAGTTAAGAAAACAGCTTACTGCAGATGAAACGTTACGTATTAATAACGTATCACAAATATTTGCATAGGTTAATTTTTGAGATTCTGTGACGACGATGTCTCATTATTGCCTAGATTTTTTTATTACATTTAGTGGTCCATACCTGACGAGGCGATATGCATCTTTGCTTATCCAAGTAGTTTTATCTTTTAGAATAAGTAACATAACGTAACAAAGAAGTTGATTCTAAATATCAACTTTATTCATACTATTATTTGAATATCTACAGACATATTTTCGCTTTTGTAAATAACAGACAATTCGTCCTCAAAATCATTTGACACAGTATGCAATTCGTACCAATATTTAAGAATTGACTATTCTCGGCAACATAGTGTCTTGATATTTATTTGTTTACCCAATCATTTTATTTCAAATTGTTATCCTAATTGATTTTTGCTGTCGACCAGCGTTTCCAATCAGTGCCCCACAGCCACATTTCAGAATTTCAGACACATACCAAGCATGGAGAAAAAATAATATAGTGATTCGGATATTTCAACGTTAATAGAAGAACGATTGTTCAAATTCGATTTTTGTAAGATAACCTTGCTGTTTTCCACATCATTTGGTCGCGTCTTTGATGTGCAGCATCAATATTTATCTTGTTTATATTTTGCAGAGTCGATTGCAGCAAACATGTGCGGCCAACGTCCAATGTTGAACTGCTGTTAGAACACAATATCATGGTACTACTACCGTGAACTTTAACCATATATCATTTATTTTAGAAGAAAAACATGTGATATTCAAAGCGATTCAAGCAACAGTATTACCTGCACAAGATCTTGTATTGCATAGTTTATCTTCGATACTGTCACCAAAACAGTGATCTCCAAATCGATGTGGACGTGGATTGGTACACGATCGTTTTCGACTCCTCATTCCTACACCACATGTTGCTGAACATTCTTCCCAGCCCTCCCATTTACTCCAGCCACCATGTGCTTATACAGATTGATTAAAATCGTTATATATTCTTTAAATCTAGTTTGTTAGTACGAGTATTTTTTTTAATTTAATTATGTGTAGTAATGTTTAAGCAACTATTTAAAGTAGATAGCTACCTATTCACATCGAATTACAAGAAATAATTACACATAGTCCATTTTACATAGTCCCTTTTAAAAGCAAAATATACAAATGATGTTTTTTTATTGATATATTTGTTTGTCTGACTGTTTTCTTTTTCTATTTATAATGAGTCTTAATTGATCATAGTATATATCTTTACCGGAAAATTTTGACAACATGGCAAAATAAATGATTAAAAGTAACCAAAACGACGAAAATTAGAAAGTTTCAGACTCGGGTTTAACGAAAATGAAATAAAAGATAATGTACAATAATACGTAAAAACCGTTTTTTTTCGTCCAAAACATTTAGAAATCCTTCATTAGCGGAATGTCGATAAATTACAACGTGTGTACTTTGTTAACTTTGATAAATTTACAAAGTAGATTCCACATCAGTGTTTCCAAAATAAAAGTCTATTATTAGCTCTATATATACAACAGGTGCTCATAAATAAATGTTGTTGGTTTTTAATTTTGGCACTGACGATCGCAATTGCCCTGTGCGGCCTCACTTCTCATGATTAACCGTTAGAAAAACAAAACATCACTGTACTAATTACGAAAACTACAAATCACATTTCTTTTTCTAAATTTCAAACAAATTAATTTCATATAGGCAGACGCCAATTGATCGTTGACTGTAAACCGTTTTCTGCTACAATTATCTATAAACTGACTGTCACTTTGTCATATTGTATATTCTTAGTCAAATATTGGGAAAAAAACTTTATTTCACTCAAAATTTAACTAACCTATTGAATATATGAAGTAGATTTGTAGAAAATGGGTCTCTAATTGAATTCATCGAAAGTTGTGATAAATACAAGCTATTGTCCGCGTCCGCTTCCATTGGCTTAAGCAGAATACAACATTTAATGATGAAAATAGCTATTTACTTTATCTAAAGAACCATTTACCAATGTGTTATGTTTATATGGCGGTCATCATGGAACATTTAATGGTAAACGTACGTGGCACTCACTGAAAAGCGGCATATGCTCAGGAGACAAAGAATGCGTTTTCAATAAACTACGAAATAATCATGTTTTAATCCTTTTCAATATTAAACCGTGTCCCTGACCTTTGTCAAAGCGATCGCTTCATTGTTCTGATTTTGAGGAAAGAAGTGTGTGTGATAAGGAAGAACAAACAACAATTTGAAAACAAAACGTTAAAAAATAACTGCTTGACTTTCTTTGCAAATCATTATATAGTTACCAGGACATAAATGCGCAAAACATGGCTTTTTATCAATACCATCTCCGGGGCATTCAAGACCGCCATGTTTAGGTGCCGGACTGTCACATTCACGATGACGTATGAGTGATCCATTTCCACAGGTGACGTCACATTTTGCCCACTCCGACCACTTTGACCATTTTCCGTCAACTGGAAAATTTCGTTGCATTTGAATTAATTTGTGTGATCATGCATTGCTTCAATATTGGTAGGATTTTTGTCAATATTATGTTAGTATATTAAAAAAATAGAATCCAGTGTCATAATGTTTGGCTTTTAATCTGCAAAACATAGTTTTGTTTAGTTCAACTATTTACAAAACAAGAATTAGCATCAAACTTTATCTAAATTCATACAAAGAGTCTATAATACGTATTCGTCAATATGCTTTATTCATCAAACTTAGATTATACGTTTTCTTTTATATAAAATATTATTTATTTTAAATAATAAAAACAAAAACATCGCGCATCACTCATTTATACGGTTCCCTTATAATCATACACTTATACTCACCAATGTGACAGAGATTGCAGTATTTCTTACAAATTATTTTAGCCTCTTTTGCATTTTCACAAATGGTGATTGTTGAGTTCAGAAGAGCACACTCTAAAGACTTGTCTTTGCAAACTGTTAAAGATAACATGGCCACAGAGAGACATGGTTGGTTGTATTTTCTGACAATTCATTTTCCTTATTAAATAAAGCAAACTTTTAACGGCTGTTCATATTACAGAATTACAATTTGATACATAATGTTAAATTTATTGATATAACTTATCAGGGCTGTATTAAAGTACAATTATTGAATCTACAGCAAATCAACACAAAACACATATAATGTAATATTAATAGATCCTGGTCAAATAAACTTAAAACAACATTACATTACATTACATTAAACCGTTATTGTATCATATATTTAGAAAGAAGAGTCAAAACTGTTTCGTTAACAGTAGTTCTAAATATTTATAAGTTTAAAATGCGATTTTCTTTTCTCATTTGATTTTGTTGGTCTATTTTGAATAAGTATTTCATGCATGGTTAATAAAAGTTTACCTGAAAGTTTTTCACACAGATGTTTGTTGCAATTGTTTTCTGAACAGCATTCAAAACAGGAATCTGCTTGAAATAGCTCCGATACATTTTGCTTTTGTGAGTTGCTGCTCGCACAGTTCTTTTAAAAGAAAAGAGGTTTAATGAAATGTAGCTTTTTAAAAATAAAACTTTATGACAATTAAACTAATATAGATTTAGATAGCAGGGCATGTAATTTACAAGAATACAATTAATCAACAATTATGTTCACTAAGATCATTTTACCCTCTGTCATGTTGTTATTGCACGTTGATTATATTGATGTCTGAAACATATATTACATTTTAGGACAGAATGATTATTAGTTTTAAAGACTTTCATTGTAAGAAACATTTTTAAAAAGCTTACAAGTTTGTCAGCGCATCCAAAATCGTACATTATTTGGTCGGTCTTTCCTTGACTTTTGTAGCATACCTGATATTATAAAATAGCATTTATAAATTTGTATTCAATGCTTTGATGGAGAGACCTGTGTACATGAATTGAATTTATATATTAAGTATACGAGTTATATATTTAAAAAGTGTAATACAATATATACTAATATATAATATTTCTTTCTAGATATTTAACAAATACGATTTATATACTTGTGAACAATTTATTGTTATTTTTAGTTGTTTGTTTATTAATTTGTTGTTGTTATTTTATCTATTTTTGTAGGGTTCTTCTTTCCCAAACATACTTGTTGACATGTTTTTTGTGTGTACAGTAATAATATCTAAACACAATGATACAGTAGTAAGAATTTCATGAATGCACTTTAAACTTTATGATGATTTAAACTGTAACTTTATATTTGATCAATGTACATTTGCTGGTATAAAGTGGTACCTGTCCATCGTTACATGTGACAGTTGTGTTGCATTCGCTCAAGTTGAGGACATTAGAACAGTTGAAACATTCGATTGATACTGAAAAAAAAATTATCTGTTACTTTCTGCCTTATGTTTACAATAATACGTTGAATGTGCATGAGTAAATAACTCTTTAATCTTATTGAAAAAAATCGGTTACGTGCATGAACCTGGGAGCGATTCATTTAATGCAACTTTTAATTGGCCCCTCCTTACATATGCGTCTTCATCTCACATTAAGAAAATTAGTTAGTGTGTGCCCATAGGATAGTTCAAAGGGGACACTGTTACATAACGTGTCTTCAGTACACATATATTGAGCTAATAGTTTTAAGTTATCAAACATAACTTGTGAGAACTGTTTTAAAATAGTTGCTAAGGATTGTCATTTACCGAAATGTTCTCGATTTGCAATAAATAAACCATATGTTTACCATTGTATCTTTACTTTAACAAGTAACATTTTACCATGTGACAAAATATGCATGATTTCATCGATTTAATTATGTAAACTAATAGGTTTCACTAAAGACGCACTTTATCTAATCATCGATGGCTTTAATGATAACAATAAAGTCATTTTACTTATTTCAAAAATGTTATAAGAGAAAAAAATGTATAATATATAATGTATTTTACAAAATATAATTGATAAACATAGGTATGATAAATTTCAAAGGTAAAATTTCGGTTGTCTTGATACGTACGAAGAAATCCAGGTGTTGATCATTTTTTAATATTTTAAAATACTGTCAGTCAGTTAAATATAGAAAAAAAACGAATCCCTAAAGAAAGCCCAACACGGCAAAATTGTAAAATGTTGCAGGCTCGGTTTGATTGAGCCTGTTCATGGACGGTGCTGGTAAGTGCAAGTTACCTTCCACGCCCCCTAGCACCGGCGTAAGCATAATTCAACATTTAAACACAAAAATGGTAAGATTTAGAATTTTGAAACATCCGCAGATGTGTTCATACGGCGGTTATCATGGAACATTGAATGTGACACAGAAGTGTAATTCCATAAAAAGCGGAGTATGGTCCCCAAGTGAAAGAATGCGTGTGCCCTAAACGAGAAAACAATGGGCGGAACTAAATAAAATGGAATATTGAAAGGAGATCTGAGGTTATGAAGCCTGCATATCACAGACAAGACGTCAAAAGACAAACTTATACTTGTCCATCAATGCATTTTAATAAAATAATTCAAGATATGTTATTATTCTCATTTTACTTACATGAACCACTAGTTGCTGATAAAATGAACAGCAATACTTTACAAATGTCTGAAAAAGAGCAAATACGAAAAATGTTAAATCGTTTGTCGATAATTGGAATGCATTTGATTTATTTCAAAATATTTAATACAAATTCAGACTATTAATAATGTATTTTGTTTAATTCAAATCAGGACAATTTAGATTGTTGTTGTCCTTGATATCATTAAAAACAATATTTTATAAAGTTTTTTTTTATTCATCAAATACGTTATTAAATAAAAGCTATAAAAACATCGTTGAATAATAGCTATAAAGCATCATTGTATAGCATGTAAGTTACATTATTGATTCTTCTATTAATATAACATGCAAGATACTTTTGGTAAAAAAACGTGTTTTTTGTCTGGTTATTTGTATTTATTGCAATGGATATTTTTACTCAACGGACTCCACTGAGGTTTTTTGACATGATGGGACTAAACATTCTTTCAAAGGTAAAATTTCGGTTGTCTTGATACGTACGAAGAAACCCAGGTGTTGAACATTTTTTAATATTTTAAAATACTGTCAGTCAATTAAATAGAGAAAAAAAACGATTTAGATTTTGTTGTCCTTGATATCATTAAAAACAATCCAGATAAATGTACCATTTGATGTAGGTTTAGACCACTAATCTTTTTGCAAAATTTCAGATCATTTGCGCACTTTGATTTTCCAAAATAATTATTCAAGTTGTAAAAAATGGCAAAAAAATGAAAAGCGTTTTAACACTTATAACTCAAATCGGGCTAAGAAAAGCATAAAAACGATTTTCAATTTATTTCAAAGTATATTCCTTAACTATCTGTGCATATATTTCTTTTTAAAGTGTCCCAGCTCATTTATGTAAGAAATTTTTAGGCTTTTAAACCTCAGTGGAGTCCATTTAAAATTTAATATGTTTTGTTATGGTTAACTTCAAGCACAATATTTGCATGTTCAATCAAAATGCACAAGCAATGTTATATAATCTTTCTTTCACAAAGACAGTTTATAATTTAAATTCGTTTCACAGTTATGAAACATTGACATCGAAGCTGTTGAAGTCAATTTGCAAATTTCTATATCAACTGTTTGAGGAAAACGCCTGTTGCATATTCGTGAATAATTTGGTTTGACTACCCGTAATTCATATAAACAGTTATCAATTAAAAAACTCAAAACTCAATGTGATAGCCTTTCAAAACAGTAACATTGTCAGCCATGTAATGATAAACTATAATATTACCAACGACGAGAAAGAAAAGTAAAGAAAAGAAAGAAAAAACAACAAAAACTTAATATGTTTGAATTTATTGAATTAAAAGCTAAATAAAGAATAAACTAGACACCTCAGAATGATAATATGTTAAAAACTTACAAAGTAGTAACATGGTTCTGTAAGTGTACCAGGTCTCTGTTGTAATTATTCTCCTGCTGTAAATATAACGGAGTTTATTCAAATTTTGTGAGATATAAATCGTTAAAGGACCTTCAAAATATTACAAAGTTGTATCTGTGATCAAATATTTAAATCAATATGCTTCTTTTCCAACAACTATTATTAATTAAAAGAAAATAAGATACATGCAAATGATTAGTTGTTTTTAAATTACCAAATTTTATTTTGTTCATTATGAACATTACTAAAATTGATAAAGATCCAATCAGCACATAAGATTTCATATCAAATAATCAACTGTCCAGGCCCGTGTCCACTAAGATTTAAGGATAATGATCAGGATGAAATTATAAACTTTTAGTCATGTCAATTTTTATACTTAAAGTTTCATATTAAATGTTAACAAAATTGGTCTTGAAATATCAAGTTTATGAAATTTTAAAACAAAGTAATGTTTTTTAATTTGACAAGGAATTGTCATTTTCACAGTTTATCCAACAATTGATATTGATCCTAAAACTGATCTTTATTTTGATCCGTATATTTTGTATTTGTTCTTTATATTCGTCAATTTTACCTCTAAATTGGGATGTTTAATTGCAAATCAACCATATTTAAAAATTGTCTTATGTTTTATTTATTTTAGCAAAATATGATCTATTGTAAACGAAGGAAAATAAAATCAGTTTCATATGATCCTGATCTTTGAACAAGGGGACAGGCGTGCACGAATATTTTTTTCACAACATTATAACCAGACAGCCGCTATATATCCTATAATTGTATAAACGTGACTAAATACCATTTAGGCAATAAAGATTTAGTCGTTTTTTTTTCTTCATCCGTGATTTAACAAGTTTAACAAGTTTATCATAATTTTATATCAATAGTACCCTATTTTGAAAAAATTTAAATTTAATTACTGTTCATTTCCTTTGTCACTGAGCAATGAAACAGTTTAATCAAAAGTCGTATGTGAACACTAGTTATTATAATAATTACAACAGGAATGCAACAATAGTGAGCGTTTGACTGATTCAAGTCATTGAAATGTACATTACTTATTTCATTGATAAACAAATATCGTGTGAGTGTAACATACTAAAATCAACTATTATATCAAATATCAATATTTAAAAGCAATATCTACAATAATGATAAAAAATACAGAAAACGAAAGATGAACAAAAAAGTAAATGGACACATTATTCCATAATCATTATATAAAATTATTGAAAAATTTTATTAAAGTTCAAGTATTTTTCTTAATTAAATATTTATTTTTTGAATTGTACACACTGTTTTTATATATATTTTGTAAATAAAAGTTGTGGAGAAACATCAAATAGAAATCAATAACTAAATAAATAGTTAAATATGTACTTACAGAATAATAATCCTGCTTTAATGTGCTACTGACAATATCTAGGAGCAAAATGATTAGACAGGTATTGGAATAAAGAGACTTCTCCTAAGGAGAGAGAGGTGAGCAATTTTAACTGCGGCATGATTTGTTTACATATGCCAGCTTAGCAAATAATTGTAAACTAAGTATTTACCGAGTTAAATTCATGCTTTTGTATGACCTTGATGACATTAAGAGGAAACTGATTAGGGAAGATCAATTAAAACAGTTTGTTTGTATATGAACATTAAGAATCCTAACTCAGCCACTAGTCTGGTAATCGAGTGCAAAAATGGCTTACAAAAAATCAAAATCCATCTTTTCTATCTTATGCAAAATATTTCAACAAAAAGAAGGAGAAAAAAAGAAACAAGAGGGTCATGATGGCCCTGAAGTCGCTCACCTGTATATAGGCCCCCGAAGCCGGGCCAGTTTAAACCCCAGGGCTTTTATTTGAACAAACTTGGAATTAAGACACCCATTAGAAGATGTTTCATGATGTTAAGTTTATTGCTATACACATATAAGGAAAAACAATGACCTTCTTCCCCCCCCCCCCGGCAGAGTTAATTTTAACCCAAGGGCTTTTATTTGAACAAACTTTTGTTAG